AAAAATGAATAGTGATTTTTCCTACCCTCATAAATTTCATCGTGTGGTCACGATTGTCGGGTAGTTTTTTATTTTTTATTTGTTTTTTACAAATTGGAGTAACCTAAAATTTAGAAGGCATGTACATCTTATTGAGGCGCATCTAATAAAAATATAAAAAAAATTATCCGCGGAAAACAAATTGACCAAAATACAAACGAAACATTTTGGGGTATTTTGGTAATTATTTTCATGTAAAATATTTGTTTTATATTTTTCAAAGATTCCTATATTCATGATAAATACACGTTCTAAATTTCAGGTCATTCCGATTTATAGAAAAATAAAAAATAAAAAAAAATACTACCAAACATTCGTGACCGCGCGATGAACTTTGGACGGTGATGGAGAAAGTTAAAATCACTGTTCAATTTAGCCTATAGGCGTTGGGTAGTGTTTTTCATATATATATATATATATATACTTCCCATCCAAAGAATAAGAAGGAAGAAATCAAACCAGTTAATGCCACGATCATGATGGAGCACGACCCTGGAAATCAGATCCTTAACTGGTTTATATTAAAAAAAGGAAGCTGAGATGAAATCTCATTTGAAACATTGTAAATCCACAAGGATATCCCTCAAATCCAACCATGATTTCCGCCATATCTGCATTGCCTTAAACCCAAAACCCAGTATCTTTATTCCCCATTAAATCCAATATCTCTACCCCAACTCCATGAATGGATCAACTTATAGCAATTCCAAGCCCTTCACGTATTCCAAAACCCTAACCAGTTGCTAACTTCAGTCTCTCATATATTTCATTTCCAAATAAGGCTTAAACTTCCTGGTTTCATTTACATTAGAAGATCTGAACCATGACCCAATTTAGGCAACTCATATCTCCACACCCCTACAATGAAGGATTTAAACCCCTCAGCTCCACCCCAACATCATAATCCCCCCTCTCTCTCGCTCTCTTAACCCGATCAGGCGTTTCTCTCTCCCTCTACAGCTTCTTTCTTGCACTAGAGGAGCAATGGAGTCGAAGAGCTCAACTAGTTCAGAGTTATGGACTCGCAGGTGCCCAACAGGTCCACTCGCCCTAGCACTTGACCTCACCCTTGGTGGCACTGGTCTCGAGCCAGAGGCACGTGCTTTGGTCCAGCGTCTCTACCCGTGCATGTATTGCGACCGCAAGTTCATAAGTTCTCAGGCACTCGGAGGCCACCAAAACGCGCACAAGAAGGAGCGCTGGGCAGATCAACGAAAGAACCCAAGTTCGATCCGTCATCTCTGTAACTTGGCTCCATTGCCTTCGAACCTTTTCATAAGATCTCCTTTTGTGGGTATGGATCTACGAGCGCAGATGCACTACTGGGTTCGACCTGGGTCTGCACCCTCTTATGGGGTGGGCACGATGCCTAGTGAGCCTAAGGGAGGATTTGGGCTCTCAGAGGAGGACATGACTTTGTTGGGACAAGAGAGAAAGACCAGGATTCCCGTGGATGTGGACCACAAAATTGAGGACCTTGATTTGTCTCTGCGGCTTTGATTTGTCTCTGCGGCTTTGATGCTCATGTGTTGCTGAATAAAAGTAGAATAAATATTGGCACGGGACACTGCATGATTTGGAGTACATTATGCGACATTAGAAATTTGTTTTATGCAACATTAATAATTTGCTTTGGACAGTTCTATTGAATTTGAGAATTTCTTTTGACTTTCCTTCCTTGTGGAATGCTTTCACTTTCAGGAATCTTATTGTGTCTCTCATCAAATGTATGTTTTATAACAGTAATTATTACGACTTTAAAAATGTGATAATTATATTGTATTAATGGCTAAATAGAAATATATATTAAGTATGATACTATATAAATTTATAAATAAATATGAGGAACTTTTGCAATTGTTAAAACTTTCTATTAACTATATATACCTTTCAGCATCATAACAAATATAGATATTTATTTAATAGTACATGTATATAATTTTTAATATTTTGAATCTCAATTAAAAGTTTTATCATATGCAAGAAATATAGCTATAACGTTATAATTATATAGCTGTAATAATTTTAATGAATATTATGATAATTAAAATAATTATAGTCCTAATTAGTTATGAATATTTTATACTCGTATTAAAGTACTGATCAATTTATTTTATGTGTACTAGGAATAAGTATAGTTGAATTTATTATAATAACGAATACAGTTTACATGCTAAAAAAACTACCAAAGTTCTGCACAGCACAGTGAGTATGTCTCATTGTGTGTGGATAAGTGTGGAAGATAAATGTGATCAAACAAGAACATGCAGACAAGGCTAAGCAAGAGATAAAGACAGAAATAGAACATTTATCAAATGAGATTAAACCAAATATTTCTAGGCTAAGATAAGGTTACATCTAATCTATTTTAGATAGAGTAAACCGTACACCCTATCTTTTTCTCTCTTTTTTAATTCTAAAAAACAAAAGATATATTTAAAGAGATAGAGTCAAATATTTCTAAACTATGCAAATAATACTTTTAAAAGGAAACAGATACCATCAAAGAGATAAGATCAAGTCTATTCTATGCAGATAAGAGAGAAAAAGCCCAAATCTATATTCTTTTTTTATCAAGAAAAAGATAAAATCAAAATTTAAATTATGCAGTCTGAAATGATAAGGGAAAGATCTAAGTTCTATTTTATTTATTTTTTTGTATTTTTTTGAAATTTACATAAGAGAAAATGGGGAAGCAGAAAATACTGAAAAATCACACGGGTCGAAAGAACCGAAAGGATGGGTTGCCAAAATATTTTTCTAGTAGTCTGCCTACGCCACACAAGGAGTGTCGTGCAATGTGACATAGGGTGTGTCACACAGATTTGTGCAACACGAGGAGTGTCGTGCAGACAGACCACTATGTGTTGCCCCAAATAGGGAGTCTTGAATTGAAGTTTGGGGTTTTGTTGAATGATTTTCGATGTTATTTGCCCTATGTGGTTTCTATTTTTCTAGAGAAAAGCTACTATAAAAATTTAAGAGGCTTTTTAAATAAAAAACACAAATTTGAAGCTTGAAGGGCCCACGATCTGGTGCCAGACTTTTATGCATGGATTTGCATCAATCTCTGAGAGAGATCAACTTCAATACCATACGGAACGTGTTAAATTTATGAAATAGTAAAGAGAGTGGAGCGGCTCAAAAACATAAAAAAACTATATAGATCTGATTCTTTTCTAAGTCTACTGGCAGCACCAACTTTAGAATCAGTGTATATGACCTTTTAAATACCTCTAAGGATCGGAAACCCAAAGTTTCAAGCTTGGATCAGTCTACTCTTGTACCACCGTCTTCTCTTTATTGAGGCATTTGCTTGCTAAAATTTGGTAGATTTGAGACTCTTTCACCAAGATCTAGGGCTCCTAAAGCTTTATAAGGGGCTAAGGATTTTTAGGAAAGGTTTACCAAATTTTTTCTAAGTATGGTTGATGATTTTCCCTATTTTTTTAATGGATTTCGGGAGGTCTTATTTATTAATACGAATTTTGGGATTCTCGAGTATTTTTAGAGATTTTTCTGATTTTTTCTAATTTTATAAGATTTGTCTAAGGATTTTTTCCTGTTTTCTGAATTTTCTAGAACTATCTTAATAATTTCAACAGATATTTCCTCGGAATTTTTCTCTATTTTTGGTCAATGTTTTAGTTCATTTTCTAGCACTTGTGGAAGGAGTATTTATAGGTTGAAGTAGGGTTATGGTTGAAAATAAATAAATTGGATTCAAAAAAGTCTTGGAATTTTCGATTTTTTTATATTATTTGGATAAAACCGACTTTAGTCATATGTATCTCTAGTCTTGGGTGAGGAAACCACAACGCCGGACCCATCGGGTTGCGTGAGCTGTGGTCCATCGCGTGCCGCCCCGCGCATCCGTTCGGAACGCAAGCCTCCTTGCGTGGCCTGACGCACTACATGGTGCATGGCCCATGGGGCTATTTTCGTCTTTTCGACTTTAATTCTCCCAAAGCTTTCAAACTTCACTTTGTAGGTCAGTTTTGGGTGTTAAAAAACTCTCGGGTCTACTACGGCTTATAGATTTCGAAAGATTTTTTAATAGTTAAACAGGGTTTTGGTATATTAGGGTCCATTAAGGTTTGTGTGGTCCTATCAGTTTAGAATAAGGGCTTTTCCAAATTCCCATAGCAATAATTTTGAGGGGAATGTCTACAACGGAGTATTCTATTCATAATTAAATGACTTAAATTTATTGGTTATACTGCTAGCGATTGGAGCGGCAATATTAACGAAGGAGAAGTATTATGGGTATTGTATTCCATATTAGCTTTACAACTTTCACTCGATTATAAAAAAAAAAGAACCCATTGAAGCTTTAACCAGATGTGAAGCTAAATATGTGGCTGTATATTAAGTATGTTACTATATAAATTTAAAAATAATTATGGGAAACTTTTGCAATTGTCAAATTTTTCTATTAACTATATATACCTTTCAGCAATATAACTAATATAGATATTTATTTAATAGTACATGTATATAAATTTTAATATTTTAAAATTCAATTAAAATTTTTAGCATATGTAAGAAATATAGCTATAACATTATAATTATATTGCTGTAATATTTTTAATGAATATCATGATAATTAAAAAAAATTGTAGTCCTAATTAATTATGAATATTTTATACTCGTATTAAAATAAGTATAGTTGAATTTATTATAATAACCAATATAATGTACATGCTGAAAAACAACCAAAGCTCTGCACACCAGACTGTGTTCCTGCACGGTATAGGGGTTTCCAAAAATTTGAAATTCTGTGATTATGTCGTAACGTGTGTGGGATAAGAGTGGAAGATCAACATGTATGTGATAAATGTAACTAAGTAAGCACATCCAGACAAGTCTATCTACTTATGTAAGAGATAACGATGGAAATAGAGGATTTATCTAATGAGATTAAACCAAATATTTTTAGGCAAAGCAGATAAGGTTACATCTAATCTACTTTACACCGAGTAAAACCTATGCCCTATATTCTTCATTTTTTTTCTTTTTTTTTTTCTTTTTTTTTTTTTTTTAATTTGAAAAGATAAAAGATGTCTTTAAAGAGATCGAGCCTAATAATTCCAAACTTTGCAAATAATGCTTTTAAAAGGAAACAATACGATCAAAAAGATAAGATCAAGTCTAATCTAAGCAGATAAGAGAAAACAAACCCAAATCCATCTTCTTCTTCTTTTTATCATGAAAAAGATAAGATCAAAATTGAAATTATGCTTATAGGACTAAAAAAAAGTAGATAAGATCAAACCTGAAATGATAAGGGAAAGACGTAAGTTCTATTTTTTATTATTTTTGTATATTTTTTTTAAATTTACATTAGAGAAAACAGGGAAGAAGAAAAAACTGAAAAATCACATGGGTCGAAATTGAAAGAAAGACCTATGTGATCTTTTGCCGGGGAAATACAATTTTTTTTTTTTTTTTATAAAAAATAATCACCCCTTATAATTTTGGCTACAAGATTGATCACAAATGATCTTATTACAAATAAAAGAAATTCCAAAAATAAATAACACATCAATAATATAAATCTCAACTACTTGATGCCATTCATACAACCTATTACTGTGCTTAAAAATATAAAATAAAAGAACAAACAAATAAAAGAAAAGATGCAGGAAATTACATTAACTGGGCTTTTTACACACCACATCGAGTCACCGCACCCAATGGCGCGAGATCTGTGGTTTAGCTTGCAAACTATATAGCCACCCTTAAAATATTTACTAAACCTTAACCCCCAAAACTAACTTAGGCTTCCCTCTAGTTTTTCCAACCCTTAGTTTCTTTTTAGGTTTAGAGAGGAGATAGAGAGTACTACCTAGGGTTAGCAGAGAGGAAGTTTAGAGAGAGAAATATGGAGCAGAGAGAATGGGGCGTGCCCCTCTAGGAGAGAGAGAGGTGAGAGAGAGAAGAGAGGTTGTGTGTAGAGATTGGGGGGAGAGCACCCCTATTTATAGTGGATATTTAAGTTTAGGGTTTTTTCATTGTTTGACTCTTTCATGAGATTGAATCTAGACCGTTGACCAAGGTGACTTGTGGAGTGAGAGATATGAGTCATCCATTCCATAGATGGGCCATCGACATTATGGAAGGTGCTTGGACAATTATCCCCCTTTTCTTAAACAATTTTCCCATCAATGTATTTAAATTAAATAAATATCATGTATTCCATAAAATTACATGATTCATGTCACATATTCCATAAGGATATGTCAATAATTATCAAGCAAATAAATACTACCAAATAAGATAAGGCCAATATTTCCCTTCCAAGATTTGACCACATGCTACAAATCAAAGTTAGTATACTTAATAAACTTGAACACAAAGCAACAAGAGAAGCCAAGAGGTGGGGCGTGCCACTCCTTTGTGGCACACGTGGGCCCCCACCCACATGCCACATGGTGGGCCCATGTGTACTTTAGGCCCCTTATGGAATTTTATAAACAATTTTAAAATTAAACAATTTAATATAT